CATTCCCTCAATTGTTACAATAAATGAATATACTTTTCATCAATCATATTGATTTAATCTTTTAGATTACGAAGTAAATATCCAAAACTAATCTATAGTTTATTCTAGTATTTGTTGGTGCAGTAGACTTTGAGTCTATGCGTCATCCACGAAGGCATGTGCCACGACGGCTTGTCGCCAAACTTATTGTTATGCACAGTCCGCACCACCAACCAATTCTCACGTTATTTATAATAAATTTTAATTCATAACATAAATACAATTAATACAACTCTTTTCTGTTTTGTAATTGAGTTTTACTTATTGGCATTGGGGGGGGGGAGGGGGCTTGTTGAAAACGTAACCTAAATTTTAGAGAGGGTCAAGCGCGCGTTATAAATGCGTTACAGGGTGGAGAGGGGTATTCAAAATACACCAAATTTGCGTTGCTTAATTAATGGACGGCCCCTAAGTAAGGGGTGAGGATAAGGAAGAGGAAGGAAATATCGCGCGCGGTCCGTGGTCCGTTTCGTATGATACTCCTCCGCCATTCGCCTGATATTTATCGGAGAACCCACGGAAAAGCTAGCTAACTAGCGTCGAAAATCCTGTCTCCGTCGGGACTCGAACCTGGAACCTCCCGGCCAGAGGCACTGCAGTGACATCAGTTTATGCCCAGAGCCACGTCTCCCGTCGGAGTGCGGCGGAGCGAGCAACAGCGGCGAGGGTGGAAAGAGTGCGATGCGAGGGGTACGGGGGGGGGCGGAGGCGGCGGTAGGACGGCGTCGGACGGGGAAACAAGCGCCGCGCTCAGGAGGGGGAAGAGGAAGGGGAAACGAGAGGCGGAAGAGAAGCGGAGGACGCGGGGGGGGGGGTGACCGGGAAATCGGTCGAGTGCGCCCGCTTCGTTTGCATGCGCGGGCTGCCGCCAACGTAAGAACAGTCCGCCTGACGAAAATGGCGACTTTTTTTTTGTTGCACAGCATTATTGGAAAAACAACCGATATGAAAATGTTCGAATTTTTATTCTGCTTGCATGCTTGACGTGGAGGAAGATGTTTATATCACGGTGATTCCTGAACGAATCATTGAAGTTCGCTGAATAATATCAAGAGAGAGATTTGAATGTTGAAGTTGTGATCGACGATTATTCGTCATATTGTAAAATATAAAAACATAAAACTGAAAAAAAAACAAAGAATACTTATAGCGAAACATTCATATTGTCTAGTTTACCTGGCACGTGATATGTCTTATTTTGTCATGGTTGTCGCAATTACGTAGTGTCTGTACCAATCCTCACGTCAGGTAACAAATTTCCCAAACCATAGAAATGACGTTCGAATACAACTATATGGAATATATACGATCATATGAAATCCTCAGAAAATAGCGACGTTTTTTGCAAGCCTGTGTTTTCATGCAAAACGCTAACGGCATTTTTGCGGCAGTGCTGCGCGATGCATACGGGACGGGATTGTGACGGGAAAGGGGAGGGATGCAACACGCAATACCTGTGTCAGTTCGCACAAGAATCGCACAATTTTCTTTCAAAATGTCAATTACATCGGGAACAACGTAGAATTAAACTGCCATATAATTAAACAGTTTGAATTTTAAAAAAATATACTCAAACTGAGTGTCACGAAACTTAATTCTGAGCACTAAAAACATTGAATTTATTAGATATTACTGTCACTTTAGTGGTATTTTTCGCAACAAATATTTTCATATCATATCTTACTTTTAAATGGTAAACAAGACTAGGGAACAACCGATCTATTTTCACACGTCGGTAAACTTAACAGCATAGAACGTTCAGTTACCAACTTATCAACTCCAGGCCCAATCCCTTTAACCAGCGACGCCCCAAGTGCCCCTGCTCATTAGAGCGCGGCGGTGGCTTGATGCGGGACGGGCGACACGGAAACCTTGACGAAGACAGGGCGGCGCAGGGCAGCGCTGGGCGGCGCGTGGCGGGCGAGAAATGAGCGGTACACCGCAAGTAGTGGGGCTTAGCAGGCGACACGACCCTCGCCGGCGTATCGCTCCGTCACGCGGGGCCGGGCCGGGCCGGGCGGGGAGGGGCGGGACGGGGACCGGGCAGGGCCGGCGGGGCCGGCGCGGCGGGGGCCGGGCGGGCGGAGTCGCGACCGGGCCGGACCGGGCGGACCGGGCGGTGGGGGGCGGACCGGCGGCGGGGCGGAGCGGGCGACGGGCGGAAGCGGGCGAGGCGAGGCCGGCGGCGCCGGGCGGCGTCCGGGGGCGTCGGCGGTAGGTGGGGTCGGAACAGGGCGGGGGGGGGGGGGGGGGGGGCGGGCGGGTGGGGCTGGCACGGCGCGGGCGGGAACAGGCGGGAGGGCAGGCGGGGCGGGAGGGTGACGGGGCGGGACAGGGCAGGGCTGCGGGCCGGCGCGCGCTGGGCGCGCCGGCGACAGGGCGGCGCGGGTGGTGGGTTCGGGGACAGGGCGGGGCGGACAGGGGCGGGCGGGGCGGGGCGGGTGGGGCGGGGCGGGCGCGGCAGGCAGGCAGACAGGCAGACAGGCAGGCAGGCGGTCGGTGTAGTTGCGTCGACGAAGAAACGGGCGCGCGAGCAGCCGGATTATACTGACGCGGGGCGGGAGAGAGAACGGGCCTGCAAAACCGCCCGAGAGTCCATTTGTCGACCGAATTCCACGTTGACTGATGGGTTTTGGACGGCGGTATTAACAGAGAGCTTCATTCAGTCGGAGAGTCGAAAGAAAGAGCTTTCCCCTTTGACTGTGACCTGTGCGTAATGGGCAAGCTTTCGACAGATTGCCCGCGGCCGCTCATACATTTACGGTAATAACGTTTCCTGTGAATAATAACCTCAAGGGAATGACTGAAAATAGAGGTAGGAACACACATGTGACGTTCTGACTACTAATTGCAGAGCATTTAATAGTTAAACACAGTAACTATTTATGATTAATATCAACGGTTAATTCAAGCTCTCCAACCAAATAAAGGCATCTGAAAAGTTTCAACAGACGTTTCAAACAGAAGAATCTTGTTTTCAAGACAGTTTTTAATCTTTTATCGCTCTTGAAATGATAAATGTTATGTTACCCACACTGTCAATAAATCAATAACACGAGCTGAATAGCTTTTCAACAACTGTTCGTGTGGAAATGCTTTCTTCGTGACAAACAATAGGACAAAGCCTGTCTGAGAAAACACATCACTGACGACAGATAAATGATTCACAATCTATTAAAGTAATTCTCAAAATGTATCAAGTATCGTGAATTAAATCATTTTGACAATTAATACTCTGATTTTTCAAGTGTCTCACGAAATTAAAACGTTCACATTAGGTCTACGATGTTAAAAAAGAATTTCGAATTACATAACTTGTAAATGTTCTCTTTTACTGTATCACATTATAAATGATTTCTGCACTCCTCACAGACACGATGGACCACGAGAGAAGAAAACGTGGCGAATAGTCATACTTTATACATCAACGTAAGTGAAAGACAAACTACACTTTCAAATACATTAATTAAATTAATTCGACGATTGATTACGACGAATATGGTATTTATTCCGCGATACATTTTCGTGCAACTAAATAAATATTTTAACGTGAGGAAATCTAATTCTAACCCAGATTTTGATTTATGCACCATCATAATTTCTAATGTGACTCATTTCGTGCGAAAAAAACGCCATCATCTCCTCCTCTGTTGGACGAACAAATGTCTCCTATGTAATTTTGTTGAGAAAACAATTGTTACTACACAGCAGTGTCTTGACGATTTTGTTTCTTTAGTAATGTCCAGAAGATTTTGCTTACAATGAGTCGAAGGTCTGATGATATTTATAAGTTATGTCAAAGAAAATGTCCACTTTTTTCGGATATGAATGACACAGTTTGTGACTTAACGGAATTGCGGTGCGTATTACGAGAGCTCCATATAGAGCGTAGCTCTGCATTCAGGCCCGACTTTAAGCCGACAGAAACTCAGACGACTTCTTTTTCACAAATGACATTAATGATCTCCCGAGTCTACGCTTCGTGTCATGGAAATGCGCACTTAGTACCATTGATTGATTCATTAGTGATTTCGGGCGCGTCAACTGCAAAGGTCATTAGTCCCGTAAATGTAGTGCATGTTTTATCGTGTTCTGTTGTGGTGGTGGTGGTGGTGGTGGTGGTGATATTTTCTGCTGCTGGATGACGAGATCCGTCCGAGACTTATACGTAAACTTGCTGGGTTTTCTCTCAACCAGGTATCTCCCACCAGTGGGGCACCGCCCCAACCGGGACAAGCTTTATGCTCTCGACCTATCTCCTGGCATGTGTGGGCATGTAAGTATAAGTAAGGGGTGTTCAAGTAAGGGGTGACGGTAAAGAGAAGGAAGAGAAAGGAAATATCGCGTGCGGTCCGAGGCCCGTTTGATAGAGTACTGCTCCGACATAGCCTGGTATTGATCGGAGAAATCACAGTAAACTACCGATCAGCATTCTCCTCCAGACAGTGTCTGAATTCTACCTAGCCAGATAGCTTATACTGCCACCATAGGGACTCCAACCCAAGTCCCTCCCGGTTAAAGGCACTGCAGTGACATCAGAGTCTAATCCCAGTGACGTAAAGATTGAACCGAAATAGAAAAAAATACGAAATTCACTTTCTGGGGGCAATCATTACTTATGAGGCCACAATGGCAAAGTAATTATATATTGATAAAATTATAAGTAAAACGCTGCAGTGCTTTTTGACCGTTGAAATTGCTCATTCAGCGGTGGCATAGCGCTAAGTGCCTAACATTTGATTCCGATTGTTAAGCCCCCAGATGTCCAAGTTGAGGCCTCATCTGATAGCTTGGGAAAATGGTATATTTTTAAATTGGTTATTACCATCTAGAAAAGGCAAGAGGGCTTCCCTGACGTTTTTCCACATCGGGGGTGATACAGGTATTTTTGGCCACCTGCAATGCATTCCAGTGTGACGGAAAGCAGCGCTGCCGTGTCGTTGGGGTGAAGAGATCACGCGATGGAGGCACAGAATAGTACGTATGGAGAAAGGAAACTTGGCGGCGGTTTGTTTATTCTCCTGGAGCAGCCGATGTTGCCTGGCCGCCATATTGACACGGAGAAATCACGATACTCGCACATACGTTGGTATAGACATAGAGTACACTACCTTCATGGTGATGAAACACTAATGAAGTTTTAAGGAGCTAGTCTGTTGTATTTTACGCCTCCGGTGAAAGGAAGCATTAAAATATACGAGGGAAATGGGTATCAAATGACAAGCAATATTACGAGTCAATACATGGTCAGTCACATTTTCTCTTACTCATTAACTATTTAAAATAATTACAAATTTAATATCCACATCGAAACAAACTTAACAATGAGCAACTAGTTACTAAAAAAAATTCTCGAACTAAAGTTTGAAAAATAACACATGCCATAATATCAGACACTGGATATATCGTGGAGACATAGCGTGCCGGTCTGTCGATGCCACGTAGGGTACAGATGTCCCAAGTGTAATTGGTCCAGCAATATACTCGTTTTCAGTATGACGGAGAGAACATAAACTAGCGCGCGGATGTAGAAAAGTGGCGCAACAAGCTGACTAAGCCGACTCGGAACTTGACATCTGATGTGCCTCGGCAGATACACGATCTGCTCTGCAGTGGTAGAGAACCAGACAACCGTGCCTGAACACTTCGGAACACCACTTCGTGCATACAGCACTCCGGGGAATGTTGGGGAATGCTATGTTGCAGCCATCTTGTGGAATGGAGAGAAGAGAAAGCCTATGAAGGTGTGGGAGGAGGGAGAATTGTTGTGGACGATTATTTCCTCTCTCAGATTATGGATTACCACAAGATATCTGCTACACCCACGGAATTTAGCTACTTTCATATGTCATTCCCATATGTCATCTACTTTCCATGTAGAATCCATTCGTTTTACCACCTAATAGAGGTGTGTGATAATTATTGTAAATACACGACAAAGCCGGGTTTCTTCAGTTATTCGTTATTTGTGTGTTGTGTTCTTTTGATTTCTTCAAAGAATGGCATCTCGAGGGAATGTTTAGCTTACTTTTGTTTTATTGATTTCTTCAGTCCACACAATCTAGGGAAGAGACGATGATTAAAAATTTACGTAGGCTGATTAAAAAAATAGAGTAGACTTAACTCAAAGAATACTCGCGATGTTCCGTTCTGAGAGCACACTTCAAAAATCTTCATTCTTAAAACGCATGAAGTACATCGAATTCAATACTACGGATAATTTATTTGTTTGAGCAAAGCAGTCTTTAGACTTATTGAGATACAAATTAATTCGACAAATTGAGATACACAGCCTTCACATGCACTCTCTATGGGTGCTAGCATTACGCGATGCAGCAGTCCGCACAAAGCCAACCGACAAAACAGCCTTCGCATGCGCTCTCTATTGGTGTGGCATTACGCTATGCTGCAGTCCGCACGAAGCAGAGTAACAATTGCATTCGTTGAAGCAAGGGCGAGCGGCGCGACCGGCGAAGGCTTGGAGGGCGGCGAGAGCGTGGAGGGCGGCGAGAGCGGCAATGGCGAATTCTTTAGACGAATTGAGAATTGAGATACTAAGCCATCCATCCAACAAAACAGCCTTCTCATGCGCTCTCCATTGGTGTGGCATTACGCGTTGCTGCAGTCCTTACGAAGCAGAGTAACGACGGCATTCGTTGAAGTAATTCACGAAATTCTTTGGACGGGTTGAGATACAAAGCAATCCGACGAAACAGCCTTCACATTGGTGTGGCGTTACACGTGGCTGCAGTCCTCACGAAGCAGAGTAACGACGGAATTCGTTGAAACAATTCATGAAATTCTTTGGAGGACTTGAGAAACAAAACCAAGCGACAAAACAACCTACGCATGCGCTCTTCATTGGTGTGGCATTTTGCGTTGCTGCAGTCCGGCACGAAGAGTTCGCGAGTGCTTTCGTTGAAGCCAATGGCGAGCGGCAGGGCGGCGAGGGAGGCGAGTGCGCGGGCAGGAGGCGGAGGGCGGCCGAGGCGCGGCGCAGGGCGGCGACGGGCGGCGAGGGGGCGAGGGCGGAGAGGGGGCGAGGCGCGGTGGGGCGAGGGCGGCGAGGGCGGGCAGGGCTGCGAGGGGGCGTGGAGGGGGCGCGGCGTGGAGGGCGGCGACGGCGTGGAGGGCGGGCGAGGGGTGAGGACGGCAATGGCGGAAGTATCTTTAGACGAAATTGAGATTACAAAGCATCCATCCCAACACACAGCCTTATCATGCGCTTCCAATTGGTGGGCATCACGCGTTCGCCGCAGTCGCACGAAAGCAGAGAAAAGACGCGCATCTCCGGGGCGGGGTGTTAGCGGGGCGTCGTAGAGTTCATGCGTTGGTGCCCGGAACGTCGCGCGGCGTGACGGCCGGGGCCTCGGGCGCCGAGCGCGAGGCGGGGCGCAGCGGCCAGACGCGTACGACTGCGAGAGGCGCAAGCGCGGCGGGGCGCCGCGAGGGAGGCATGCCAGGGGGTGTCGGCCGACGACGTGCCAGGAAGGGCCTGGCTCGGATGGGAGCCCGGGCGAGGGCTGTCCGGCTGGGGGAGGGGGGCAAACGGGGTGCGTGGTGGCGATGGCGGAAAAGATGGAGGACGTGAGCAGGCGGTAGGAGATCGCGTAGACTATATTACCGGGAAGCGGAGACTGGAATGTGAGGTCAGAAACGTAGACTTCGCACGAGAGGGGGCGGGATCAAGAACGGGTTCCACATGCGGTAATCTGAGACTGGTAGGGGAGGGATGTTGAGGGCGGGGGTTGCAGGGTGGCAGAGCAATCGGAGAAGGGGGAAAAGCGCGGGATGAGTGGGTTTGGGGCACAGCGAGGGCGTTAGGAAGCGACGAGGAGATGGGTAAAAGTGGGGAAGACGTGACCGTGGCGACGGTGGCAGGCAATGAGGGCGGCGGGAGGGCAGCGGCGAGGGCGGCGGGAGGGGCGCGGCGAGGGGCGGCGGCGAAGGGCGCGGCGAGGGGGCGGAGAGGCGGCGCGCAGGGGGCGGCGAGGGCCGGCGGCGAGGCGACGGCGGCGAGCGCGCGGCGGCGAGGGCGGCGGCGAGGGGGGCGGCGAGGGGGCGGCGCGAGGGCGGCGGCGACGGCGGCGGCGAGGGCGGCGGCGAGGGCGGCGGCGAGGGCGGCGGGCGAGGGCGGCGCGAGGGCGGCGGCGAGGGGCGGCGCGAGGGCGGCGGCGAGGGCGGGGGACGGGCGGCGGCGGGCGGCGGCGTGGGCGGGCGGGAGGGCGGCGGCGAGGGCGGCGGCGGGGCGGCGGCGAGGCGGAGGGCGAGGGCGGCGGCGAGGGGAGGCGGGAGGGCGGCGGCGAGGGCGGCGGCGAGGCGGGCGGCGGCGAGGGCGGCGGCGAGGGCGGCGGCTTGAGGGCGGGGCGAGGGCGGCGGCGAGGGGCGGGAGGGGGCGGCGAGGGCGGCGGCGAGGGGCGGGGCGAGGGCGGCGGCGAGGGCGGCGGCGAGGGCCGGCCGGAGCTGGGGCGGCGAGGGGGCGGCGCGGGGGGCGGCGCGGGCGGCGGGCGAGGGCGGCGGGCAGGGGGCGGGAGGGCGGCGGCGGGCGGCGGCGAGGGCGGCGGCGAGGGCGGCGCGAGGGCGGCGGCGAGGGCGGCGGGCGAGGGGGGCGGGAGGGCGGCGCGAGGGCGGCGGCGAGGGCGGACGTTGAGAGTGGTGGGCGGTGCATTTGCCTCGGTAGTGAAGGGTGAAGGCACGGGAGGGAGTGCTGCCAGAGTGTGGGTAGGGTGTGGGAGACGCAGGCGCGAGCGAGGGGATCGGGGGCGACTGGCACGGAGAGAGCGGAGCGAGTGCGGAGGAGAGACGGCAATGCGTGGGAAGCGTAGACTAGGCGGCGAGCCGCGCGTCGACGGGGGCGGAAGCGGGGCGACGGAAGAGAGCGCGCCCGGGGGCTGCTTGGCGGCGCTGGCGCGCCAGGCGCGGCGCCGTTGCGCGGCGGTGGGGCGGTGGCGGGCGGCGGCGGAGCGCGCGGCGGCGGGGCAGGCAGTGGCGGCCCCGACGCATGCGTTGACGCGATTCATCGACAGCGGAGCGGTGGAAGCGTCTTTGCGATTACGCCGGGGTTTTCGCCGGACGGCGGAGGCGGCGGCGGCCGGGGTTTCCTGCGTTTGCCGGTTCCAGTGATCGCTCCCCACCGCCGCGCCCCACCGCCCCGGCCGGGGCATGTCGCAGGCCCGCCTAGTGACGCGATGCCGGATCCACACGCTCATCGGTCTCGCGTCTCGTTTCAATTCCGCCACCGCCTCGCTCCCCGCTGGCCCACCCCTAGCGCTTCCCTCCCTGCCCCGCTCTGCCCCGCCCCGCCTCGCCCCGCGTCTCCCCTCTCATCCCCGCCCTGGCGATCCTGGCTCTCCCCGCCCCGCCCCGCCTTACCGCGGCGGCGCGCACTTAAGGGTGGATGCTCGGTGTGATTCCGGTCGTCGGAGCCGCGCGCGCGCCATGGCCAGGGCGGCGAAGCGAACGGTCATTACGACCGCAAGCACATTGCGTCGAGCGAAGGCTGGCGGCGCAAGAAACTACCTGGATATAATCACAAGCATTTAACAATATTCCGAAGTAATAAATTAATAACAAATGTTTACCACAGTTATATTACTACTATACGACATATTATACGAAACCATATTTATACCCTGGAATCGTTCAAGTGATGACAAAAATTAAAGAAATGTGAACTCTCGACAAATCTTTCTACGTATTCACATAATTCGTAAATGTAATTTTTCGCGTCTTTTCAAACAGTTCGAATAAACATTCTGATTTCTAACGAATAGTTACGACCTGAAATATATTTGATTACCTGAAATATATACTAGCATATTCTGTTGAAAGCAATATTTCACTTACGCATCATTCCATTTCCTTGCTTCAACTAATAAATACATGCCGCCCTCGTAAAAAAATAATCGGAAAATATTAAATTATTACAAGTGTTTAAATGTCAAAAATGACCGGTATTTGGATGCAAGCCCATTCAAAAGCTGATAATGCCATTTCACTTATCTTTAATAGGATGATTACGGAATCGAATTTCGCAACACTAAGAAATATTAGAATTTATGAAGGAAGATTACATATAAGTTTACATTATTCCATTTAGCGACTCGGTGCCACAACAGAAATATAATAACTGGCACAATTTTACTATATATTTTATCTAATAAAAGAGTTATGTATCCAGACCATGAAGTGGTACTTTTTCGAGAGATGTTGATAATACTGATAATATGAAAATATTGATAATATTCGAGATGTCTCCCTTATGCATAAGATATTTAGGTTGAGGGAGTTGCTGAGAAAAAATACCTGACTAGTGGAGCTGCAACAGCTCATACTATTTCGTATTATTTTCAACTTTTGTAATTTTCGAAACTTCGATAGTTTGACGACAATTACACCTGGGCTATATTTACGCGTCCTTTGCTCCATCCATTAAACAATTACAGAAAAATTGCATTTGCTGAAAATTTATTTTGATTTTTTTATGACTTTACTCTTTGAGCCGGAAATTCTGTGAAATAAATTCATTTTTTCACAAAATAGTAAATGATTTTTACAACCGATTTCATTTCAAACAAAAAACTCTCTTCATTTTGTACTTTTGCATTATAATGTTTTTTTAATTTTAGAAAATACAGAGAGGACGCCTAAAATTGAACTAAAAATTGGGAGCAGTTTTGTAGAAAATAATTGATTCAAAATGGCCTGTATTTCACACAAAATTATTTGAAGTTCATATTTTCGAAAAATCAAGCACCCACAAAACATGAATTCTGATTAAAACAAGTTCCACAACCCATACGTAATATGCAATACTGTTTTATCAATATTCCAAATCCTTTTGAAATTCGCCATTCACAA